ATTTTAAAGAGACAGGGTTTCACCTTGTTGGCCAGGGTAGTCTTGAACTCCTGGCCTCAAGTGATCCATCTACCTCGGCCTCCCAAAGTGCTGGGATTACAGGCATGAGCCACTGCGCGCAGCCATATTTCATAAATATGTACAATTATTTTGTATTAATTTTTAGAAAGGAAAGTATGGGAAAATCTATCTTTAATTCCAACTTCCTTTTGTAACCAGATACCCTTTGGGAGAGGTGCTAAGAGCCCACGTTACCCTGGTTTAGCTTGTTGTACAGGTTATTAGAGTAGAGAAGAATTGGGCATGGGAATGTTTCTTCTCTCACAGGTGTAACTAAAAAAGCTGGTTGGTCTAACTTGAGTATCTTTGTCCTATAAGCCTCTGCAGGTGTGTGAGCAGGATTGCTTCTGCAACAAAAGCTTCCACCCAGCCACATCTTGGGAAGAGAATGGCCACTTCTTGGGGCACAGTCTTATTTATGCTGGTGGTATCCTGTGTTTGCAGCGCTGTCTCCCACAGGGACCAGCAGACTTGGTTTGAGGGTATCTTCCTGTCTTCCATGTGCCCCATCAATGTGAGTGCCAGCACCTTGTATGGAATTATGTTTGATGCAGGGAGCACTGGAACTCGAATTCATGTTTATACCTTTGTGCAGAAAATGCCAGGTGAGTGCAACTGGGACCCTTACCAGAGTCTGTAAATCCACACTTCAGCATCTGTTCCCAGAAACAAATATGCTGAGAGGTTTTTTTCTGTGAATTACAGAATTGCATACATAGTGCATGTCTTTTTTCAGAGAACTTTGGAGTATAATTGAACACATGGTTTATTTGTTTTGTTTTGTTTTTTTCATTTTTATTTTTTAATTTTTTTGAGTCAAGGTCTTGCTTTATTGCCCGGTCTGGAATATAGTGGTATGATGACAGATCACTGTAACCTCAATCTCCTGGGCTCAAGCAACCCTTCCACCTCAGTCCTCCGAGTGGGACTACAGGCTTGTGCCACCATGTCCAGCTAATTTTTAAATTTTTTGTAGAGCCCTGCCCAGGCTTGTCTCAAACTCTTGGGCTCAAGTGATCCTCCCACCTTGGCCTCCCAAAGTGCTGAGATTATAGGAATGAGACAGCATGCTTGGCCAGAACACATGGTTTAATTCAATGTGAAATTAGAGATCTGGGCTGCCTGTAATCTGAAACCTATGTATTCAAAAAAATAGCTGTAATTTGTTCTTCCTCCTCTCTAAACATGGGATACTCCAGGGATCCATAATATTCAGAATATGGGGAGTGGTTTTGGGAGAAGGATCACATGAGAGTTTCACTGCCTCCTTAGACAAAAGGCTAGGGGACTCTGAAGATTAACTTTCTCTGAATTGTTAGTGTTTTTTCCTCAGGTTACTTATGGAGCCTGGGGAAAGGAGTAGGAGCTAGATGTCCACCAGAGAAATGGTAGCGGGACCCTCAGAAATTGCTCTAGTCCCGCTTTCCAGTTCTCCTGCAAGACATTCCTCACAAGTGGGATCATTTGGGATAACTGCGGGGAAGTCATAGGAAAGCTTACAGAGCCCAGCATCTGAAGCTGCCTAACTTTTGGTAACCAGCTCTCTCTCTGTTTTGTTCCATGGACAAAATAGGACAGCTTCCAATTCTAGAAGGGGAAGTTTTTGATTCTGTGAAGCCAGGACTTTCCGCTTTTGTGGATCAACCTAAGCAGGTGAGTTTCTTATGATTTGATGTTTAGATTCTCCATGCCTTGATCATTTGACCACAGCACTGCTGTTAAATATTTCATGTTATTCACTAATGAGATTGAGGTCATATGTGAGATCAGCTTTCTCTCCTCAGCTTATCTCCTGGATAACATTAATTATATTTCCCAGGCTCTTGAGGGCTGGGTGGAAGAAGGCTAGAAAATTGGTATGGTCATGCAAGGATGACACTAGCTT